CCCACAACCAAAAAAAAAAAAAAAAAACTCGATCAGATGTAGGCAAAAGTAGAAGAGAGAAGACAAATTAATTAGAGGCTGTTAATTAATCTTTTTTACGTACCGTAGCGCAGGTGACAAGGGAGAGGGAAGCCAACGCGAACAATGCTAACTTCATCGGTAAAGCCATCGATTATTCTTCCGGTGGAGATGAACCTGAGGCTGCTCTCAGCTCCCGTCCTCTTTATAATAAACAACAAGTGGGGGGTGAGCGTAGCGGGGCGAGGCTGATGAAGGGATCAAATCCCGAGGAGGAGGGAGGAGAGAGGGGTATTTAATTATTAGTTATTACGGGCAGACAGGAAGAAGCATGGGGAAAAGGACACGGTGGTGACTTTGGTCGTCAAACAGAAGACAGGCCGGGCCCCACGCCACGTGATGGCCCCATGTGCGCATGACTCTGCCTAGCTACTCAGGACTGTACCCCTGCTTACTTGCTGCTCCGCTTAAATTATCTTCATGAATAAGGGGGGTGCAGACGCAGAGCTTCGATCGCCTGGCCAAATACGCCCGGGCCGGGTTCACCCAGGCCGGTTTTGGTGCCAATCTGATTTGGGGTTTGGAAGTCGGCCGAGCCTGACCTATCCGGCTTCAGGTAGACCTGCTCAAATCAGCGCCTTGACAGCGGGGCTAAATTGAGGGTCGGATTTTGTTAGATAGTGAGACCCAATAGTATTTCTGTTTTAGGAGTCTTATGTAATCGTAGAATACGAATGAAGCTTGATAGAGTTTGTTGTAAACAAACTCCTGTTATGATCTGCTCAGCACAACTGAATCCACTTAGTTATGCATGCTTAGCGATAACAAGATTTGTGATGATAAGATTAGATAGCTTATGTATCTTCTCATGTATATCTCCTGTAACTACTCATCCATATCGCATGTACTCTACAACAATATATATATCAACAAGCACTCATGATTAAGTGAGTGAGCCCATTTACAGAACTCTGTTCTCCAGCCTCTTCATGGTATCAGAGCAGCCACGATCCAATCCTCCATCACAATGTCAACTTCCAGCTCTACTACTTCCCCTACATCATCCTCATCCTCATCATTTGATTTGTCCGTTGCCTCGCCTCTTCCCAATCTCGGTAATATTCATTATTTTCTTTCTTTAAAGCTAACTCCAACAAACTATTTGCTATGGAAAACGCAGTTTCTTCCTTTGTTAAGGAGTTTCGATCTCCTCGGATTAGTGGAGGGCACAGATCGTTGCTCTTCCCCTTACATTGTTACTAGTGAATCTGGTCTGTCATCCTTAAATCCAGCATATACTGCTTAAATTTGCAAAGACCAACTTCTTATCCGTTGGATTATCGCTTCACTCTCGGAAGACGTTCTCTCACAAGTTGTTGGTCTTGCGACATCCCATGAAGTATGACATGTTGGCATTTTTGTTTTGATGATGTTTTAACAAATAATTTATAACTAATATTGTTTGTCCAGTGTTTGTGTTTTTATATTTATTCTAGACAAATAATCAATCGGAGGTTGGATGGAATTGCGTCATAACGATCATATCAAATGGAGGTTGGCGGAAATACCAGAATGAAGCCAAATACATTCAAGTTAAAAATTCAAGATCAAGTTTCATCCGCAACCAAGACGAGCTTGATTGAAGATCAATAACTTGGGTATAATGTTTTAGGTTTATACTTTGTGTGTTAATGCTTAAAGCTCAAACTACACACATACACGTTTCGCTTTTATCGTATTATACATTTTTGGGAAAATAACGTGTTTACGGATTAAAGACTTGATTATACTAATTTACATCTATTTTGTTTTAATGAAACAAGTTTTTGAAACATGCTTGAAATGTTTTCATCAAAATCAACTATTTGACGGTTTCGTATTTTTGACCAGTTTGCAAAATAAATGATTTCTCATAAATGGAAAATAAAATTTCAAAAATTCTTTTTCAAACATGTTCTATTACATGTTTATAAACATTTACCAAACTTTATCATTTTTTGAGTTGATTTACTATGTCAAATTGATTTTACGAAATCGAGTGTTTCAACAGTTTTTAGAATCTGTAATATCTGTTTTAAAATATTTATTTCTCACAAATATGAAGTGTCATTTTAGAAATTATTTCTCTAACATATTCACCTATATGTTTAGAAACTTTTCTCAAAATTTCATGATTTTTGGAATTAATTTACTATTTTAATTGATTTTACAAAGCTAGATACGTAAAAATTCCAGAGCCAGTCGTTACTGTTCCAACGGTTATATCATCAGTCAACTGATGATACTATCAGTCGACTGATCAAATGTTTTCAGTCTATTACGGCTATTTTTTGAAGTATAAAAACTTATGCTTGGTACCAAACATACCCATTTCTCTCTCTCTCTCTCTATATATATATATATATTGCATAGATTTCTATACCAAGGGGTGAGAAAAAATTTTCCTTTCTTTTAAGGCGGCAACGAGTAGGTTTTTTTCTGGGCAAAATGACAAACGACAACTTTGATCACCTACTCGAATAAATCTCCTTACCTGCTCTCCTCTAATAATTTAACCTCCCAAACTCGGATCTCCGAATTCAATTGCAGCGTTATGCCAAGTCGCAAGTCCTGAAAGGCTAGAACTCACTGGAGTGCCGTAAGCCATTAGTTAATGAATCAAGCTTCTGAATTTTTATAACAAAAAGAAATAATAAGATTAAAAAAAAAGGAAGACGAGCTTTCTAGCTCAGAGACCTTTTTTTTTCTTCTTTTTGGGCCTCATATCAGATGAGAAGCCGTACAAAAATTGTCGCGTTTTCTGTTTAATGCGTCATTGATGATGACTACCTGAAGCTGGGTGGGAGCTAGCTGTATCCGAGTAACATGCATCAGTGTGCCAGAGGGCACGTGCCGAGGCAGAAGCCTCAGTCGTGTCGGATGAGCTTGCAGGAAACTGATTCGACGCAGATGTCAAGGAGCTGTTTGGATGCCTTCAGAAAACTAAAGTATTTATGACACAAAATAAAAAGTGGTTATCTATCTTATCATTTTTCATTTAAATATTTACATTGTTTGGTTAAGAATCTTTGTGAATACTAAAATAATAGTATTATATAGGGCTGGGCATATTCGGTTCGGTTCGGTTTTATGCCCAATCCGTATCCAATCCGAATTTTTCGGATTCTCAAAACTCTCATCCAGATCCAGATTTTTTCCCCTTCATCCGAATATTCGGCCCAACCGAAATTCGGTTCGGTTCGGTTCGGTTTCGGTTTTGAATTTGCAAAGAGTTCTATCCAAAGACTTCTGTTGTGAATTTGCAAGCTGGGCATTGTCCTCATGATGAGGTTCCTGAGCTCGCCAACAAAGCTTTATTAGACTGGTTATCATCTTTAGAATAAAGTTTTGAGTTGATATAATTACGCAGAGAACTGATGTTTTAAAGATGTTGTTCATATAATAGAGCATGCTTATCTCTTGTACGTATCATGTACATAACACATTTTGTGATTGATTTGAATCTTATGTAATTCTCAAGATCTATTCTGCGAAATTTTTTAACTAAAGTTTAAGTTTATTTAATTATACGGGGGAGTGATGTTTTGTATGATATTGTTCATATAATGTAGCATATGCATCTTTTGTAAGTGGATCATGTGCATAACAAATTTTCTGGATTGATTTGAATCTTTACTTAGTTCTCAAGGATTTTTTTCTCTGATATTGCTGTACTCATTGCTTGAAACTGCTCCTTGCGCCGTTTGAATCTATTGGATGATAACAGGAAAAGTTTTGAGGTATAAGTTTAGTCTCTAAACCACCCAACAGAATTCGGGTCGGTTTTTTTTGGGCGGTTCAGGGGTTCAAACCGGATCCAAACCGATTTAATTCGGTTCGGGCGGTTTAGAGACTTCTTCTCATCCATTTAATTCGGTTCGGTTAACCGATCCGTTTTTTCGGGCGGTTTTTTCGGTTGAACCGGTTTTTTTCGGTTTTTGTCCACCCCTAGTATTATATTGTTTGGATAGTATAATGTAAACTAGAGTATTTATGACACAAAATGGAAAGTGATTATCCACCTCACCACTTTCTACAAGGTTTTGACTTTATTATTATTATTTTGGACACATTTATGATATTATGTCAGCTTTCCAACAAAATCACTCTTAATTTTGGTGATTTTGCTTTCGGTGACACCTCATCAAAAGGTGTAAGCTTTTTCATGTAAAAGAGAATTTAAACAAACAATGTAAAGTGATGAAAGCTAACATTGGAACCCACTTTTTTACACTTTCCATCCTTTTACATGGTAAAAACATACAACCAAACAGCCCCTAAGGTATATCTTAAGGCTAAATATTCAAAAAAGCCCACTAACTTTAAGCGATTATCTGATAACCACTCATAAGTTTGGAAAAACTTCCTCAGGGTTGGTGTTGTAGCATGTAAGTAGAATAAAATAAGGTTAATGTGGGGTGAGAAGAGAAGAAATGTAAAATAAACTAGAAAGCTTAAAAGAGAGGAAATCCCTTCAATTTAGAGGGATAGAAGATTGAGGAAATTAAGAAAAGATGCAAAATGAACTAAAAAGTCATGTACGTACCTCTCTTACTCTCCTCCAAACAAATAAGAATCATAAAGATCTCTCTCTTCTTCTATTTCATTGAACCTTACCTCACTTTACTTTTCCTCCTTATACTTTCTAGGAAACCAAGCCTAAGTTTGTGGTTATCAGAAAACTCTCTGAAGCTTAAGTTCCCCAACCCCTGTAACTGGCTGTATCCAAAAGCCACAATTGCGTTTATCGCAGTTTAGGAGTTTTTTCTGATAACATTTTTAACTTAAAGGGAGTTTTCTTGAGTTTTTCTAATTAACATATGTACTCAAGGGGTGTTCTGGAATTTTAAAGGTTATAAATTGTTATCCGATAATCCTCCGAAGCTAAGAGGGTTTTTCTTACATTTAGCCTATAATAACAAAATTATAGCCTCGAGAATTTAAGCATTATATCTAGATAAACCAAATAAATGTTCAAATGTGTTGAGTGGAGGCACAAGGTTTACATCAAACAAATAAACAAACGAGTGCTTAACAGCTGTGATGTGATTAATTAGTGTTGTTTGAGAGTTTCAACTCATTGGGAGTATCTTTGGGGTACTTCTCCCCGCCCTGACGTCACATTGGTCGGTAGATCGTATTTAGCACATGCAACGTGCTCATAACAACTCTCCTGGATCTTCCTCCTACTAAGAGCATCTCCAAGGGGATCCAGTCTCTTAACTAAATGAAAAGTGGTGAGGTGGATAACCACTTTCTATTTTATGTCATAAATACTCTAGTTTTCTAAAGGCATCCAAACAGCCCCTTAACGAGTTTGTGCTCTAAGGAATCGGAAAAAGATCCCCTTCACCCCCAAGTCCTTTAACTTCCTCCATAAATTAAGGGGAATGTTAAAGTCCCTTAACCTTCCCCTTATAATTTTATATTAATATATTTTGTTTGGGAGTTAATTTATAGTTAATTAAATTTAGTTAATGTATAGTTAATTTAAAATAATATAACTAAGTTAATGTATAGCTAATTCAATTTGATTAATATTTTTAAAATGTACCCATTATAATTTCTTAAATTAATTAATTAATTAATTAATTATAGTTATTAATATTTAATTAATTATTTATTTATAAATAAACCATATATTTAATTAAATTCTAATCTATAAAATTAAAAAACTAAATATAATTAATTAAGGGTAGGGGACTTTTTAGGGGGAACCATGGGAGGAGAACCAACCCCTCACTTAAAGTTCCCCCTAGATTAAGGGACATCCAAAGGATCCCTTGGAGATGCTCTAATAGTTCCGAGTTTGGGGACGCTCATTTTCTTAAGCAAAAAATATTAAAATAATTATATCAATAATCATATTTAAAATCATGTGTTATTTTTTCATAAGGGGACAACACAACGTCGTTTTAGGAAAGGCCCTGAGGCAATTTCCCCTTTTGAAGACATTTTCTAAACAAATTCATTCACATTTTTTAAAAAAAAATCGACCTCCTTGAGTTTTTTTTTTACAAAAATCAACCTATTTTTTTTAATCTGGTTCCTAAATAGTCGGGGTTGTCAACCCTGACTATTTAGTGCATAGAATGTTAGGGTTTAGGATAGTAATTGAGAGTTTTACAACCTCCTAAATAGGCAGTGTGTAATACCCCAACCCTTGAGAGGGTGATGTGATTAGTATTGATAGATTTGATTGAAATATTCATACCACCAAGATGCATCTTCTTTTCGGAAACCCAACTCTTAAAAACTCTGCAGTTAAGCGTGCTTGTCCTGGAGAAATTCTAGGACGGGTGACCCCCTGGGAAGTTTTTCAGGGAGTGCGTAAGTGAAGACAAAACGTGCTGAAAAGACATGTGGTGATTTGTGAGGCCAGTCCATCAGATCTAATAGCGTACCGACTCCGGGATTCCGGGACGGGGCGTTACAAATGGTATCAGAGCAAAGCCAACCGAAATTGTGAGAGCTAAGTGTTATGCGGCGCAAAGTACTACGTCAAGAGGGCGGGAGCCACCTCTTAAGGCCGTAGGAGCCACCTCTAGAATCTCACACGGATGGTACGGTCTTTGGATGATATGATTTGGCGCAACGAGGACGTTACGAGT